TGAACTCCCCCATTGCACATCACCTTTCCTACCACAGCTGTTTGTGTAGCCTTGTTCTGAAGCCTTTGAAGGTGATTGTCCTTGGTGTCTTCAACATCCATGCCACATAGAGGGCAATATCAGGTGGCTTCTTTTCTTTCTATCTATCGATCGATCGTCAGGAGAAAGTGAGATCCCAAGTTCTAGAGAGACCTATAGCTTCTTGGACACACAGTCAACCTATGCCTCAATTAAAGAGAAGGGTAGAAACCCCAGCAGACTGGCTAATGCATGCCCACCGGCTTTTGGGGCAGGAGAGATCTTGTTCTCTTCCCAGCTCTCTTTCCCAGCCAGGCCAGGCTCAAAACCCAGAGTATCCAAACTTGCTCCTTCCTTACCTCTTTCTCTTAGGGGTTCTTTCCCCAGCTCAACAACTGTCAGGCTGGGGGAGATATTTCCAATCTCCAGCTGAATGTACAAGAAGTGATATTCACACCTTTTTCTTTAGAAGGTAGGCTGGAAGATTGAAAGAGTTTCTCTGTTTTATAATAAGAGTTGGTTGCTGAATTTAGGATTTTTTTCTATATGCTGCTACCAGTGTGTTATGATATTTTATGATGCTTGATAGCTGTAAATGTACTCTGAGAGTTAGCCATTAGTATTTTTAATAATTGCCTAACACAATAAATGAATAAAAATAGCATGAATTATGCTCTTCTTTTTCGCAGAAATAAAACTGGAAAAAACATTTTCAAAAAATTTAGGTGCCCAAGTTATTGAAGGGAGAGATAATTCAGTTTGCAGTACTTCCGTAATAAATGCAGTGTTCTGTGCTTGTTGTTGCCCTGTTTTATTTTGAATGAGGCATGCGTGCTTATAAAGATAACAGCAGCTAGAGGAATCAGCCAGTCTATCATCAGGTTATCTGGTGAGAGTGAAGAAATTGGTTTTGTTCCTTGACTTTTATCTTTTAATTCAGTGAGACCCATCTGCTGTGGCATCTGTAACTGAGGTTGACATTGTGGATTGCTGGTAATTTAGATCCAAAATTTAGAGAATTCAAAAAATTTAGAGAGTAACAGTTTCTTCATGTGAGAGATACCTTTATTATATTGTACTTTGCCTTTTTCACTAGGTTGTGAGAAATGCAGGAGAATATAGCTTGCTTCCTAAAAGGTATGGTTTGATAAGGGTTATATAATAGCGTGCTGCAATTTCATGGTACTTAGTCTGATACCTGATTTTTTTTCTCATGTCTCATATACTGACTATGAAAAAAATTATTTTGTAGACTGTTGTATAGTCATGCAGCAGTCTGCTATCATCTCACAAATCCCAGAGTTACAGCATGAGGGCACTTACTTAAAAGAAACATTTCAAGAGTGCTGACAGCAGCAACAAAACTCTTGGGATTTTCTCATTCTTTTGCAGAGAACAATAACAGTAAATTTACAAATAAACATATCAAGAAAATATTACCTGCTGGCTCCCAAATATGAAATAGAATGTTAGCAGTACAGTACATCATTAAAGAGATTCAATCCTGAGTTGTATAAAGAAATATTTGTAATATTTCCCCTAGTTACTCGTACAGGGATGTAAGAGGCTTTAAATACAAAAAGTTCATTTTTTTCCACAGTTGTTTTGAGAGTCTAAATTCAGCATTGTGTGGGTTTGAGCAGCTGCCAAGAGCGTAGACCATGCAGTGACAAACAGAAAAAAGGCAAATCTTTTCATCTGTGTATCTCCAACAATTCTCGGATCTCTTACTCATAATGAGCACATATTACCGCTCTCTCTAGCCACTATATAGCCGCCTTTAGCATCATGACCTTGGTTGTTTTTATTTATTAGCGTTTTATGTATCGAGGTTTTCAGTGTTTTAAAATCTAAAGACAAATACCATATTTGGCAAAAAAAAAAAAAATGGGTTTTCTAGGGTTATAACATAGGGGCTGTGTCTAGACTGGCAAGTTTTTCTGCAAAAGCAGGTGCTTTTGTGGAAAAACTTGCCAGCTGTCTACACTGGCCGCTTGAATTTCCGCAAGAACACTGACTTCCTACTGTCTGAAATCAGTGCTTCTTGCGGAAATGCTATGCTGCTCCAATTCAGGCAAAAGTCCTTTTGCGCAAAGCTTTTGTGCAGAAGGGCCAGTGTAGACAGCTCAGATTTGTTTTCCGCAAAAAAGCCCCGATCGTGAAAATGGCGATTGGGGCTTTTTTGCGGAAAAGTGCGTCTAGATTGGCACGGACGCTTTTCCGCAAAAAGTGCTTGGAAAACTTTTCCATTAAAGGCATTTGTGGAAAATCATGCCAGTCTAGACGTAGCCTGAGTGTTTTTTGATAGCAAAAATATTGCTCAGGCTTTTCAGTGTAGATACCAGCTTTCACTATACATCAGCAGTCATCAGTCATAATACAGAAATGCAATCTCTTAAACATCTTTGAACCCTCGAGGGTGAAGGTACTGATCCACTCCCCACTGAAGACAGCAGAAAGACAGAGCGGGATCATGCTTTTAGTCCATAAGGAATAAAGAGAGGAGGATATTGTGTAGAGCCATCAAGTGATCTTAGGAAAGACTGGGCAGGATTATAGTGAGCGATTATAATTAGAATGAAAAAATTTTCTGATTCTCGTTTTACATCTAGCAGGTCAGTGACTTCTGCTGTGGAAAGAAGATAAACATTAGAAGTTACCTTGTCTACACTAGGGAGTTATTTCGAAATAACTTCCCTTATTTTGAAATAACAAGCGGAGTGTCCACACTACCAAGCCTGTTATTTCAAAATAAGGGTCTGGTTATTTCAAAATAATAACTCCTGCTTTCCATGAGGAATAACGTTTATTTTGAAATAGTTATTTTGGAATAACAGTATTGTGGACGCTCCACTGCTGCTATTTCAAAATAACTACTCCCCAGAGTCATTCAGAGTAATTACTTCCCAATGCTTCTTGGGGCTCTAAGCCAAGGAAGCGCATCCACATTAAGGCAGCCTGCCTTGGACTAATTTTGAGTGTTCCCTGTATTGTGGATATGCTATTTTAAAATAATTACTCTGGGTATGTCTACACTACCACCCTAGTTCGAACTAGGGTGGTAATGTAGGCAACCGGAGTTGCAAATGAAGCCCAGGATGTGAATTTCCCGGGCTTCATTTGCATAAAGCCGGGCGCCGCCATTTTTAAATGTCCGCTAGTGCGGACTCCGTTCCGCGCGGCTACACGCGGCACGGACTAGGTAGTTTGGACTACGCTTCCTAGTCCGAACTACCGTTACTCCTCGTTTCACGTGAAACTCCTCGTGAAACGAGAAGTAACGGTAGTTCGGACTAGGAAGCCTAGTCTGAGCTACCTAGTCCGTGCCGTGTGTAGCCGCGCAGCACAGAGTTCGCACAGGTTAAAAGACAGGTTAAAAGACCTCCTGTGCTTCACTTATATATGGGGACATGGGAATGAATAGTGAGCTGCTATTCATGTGCAAACAGTAGAATAAAGGAATGTAACAATGATCCTTACTTCCTTGTGCAGTTTACTTACACCACTGTTCTCTGTGTCAGAGGGAGAGCATCTGCCAGAGGTTGCTACTCAATCCTGAGCTGGTGGAAAGGAACAGGAAGGGTCTTGAATGGAGCCTTAGCTATGTTGAAACAACATTATTTAGGTTGCAGAGTCAAGCAAAGTTAGGAAATTCCAGAATTAAGGTTGCTTGTATACCTTTAATTCCACCCCTTTGTGTATACACATTATGATACTCAATTACATGATCACGTACTATTTTTTTCATGGATCATTTTCCTGGCATGGACCCCATTAAGTTCATAGTGTATTCGATGTTCTTGGGAACGGTGCACATTTTGTGCAGAGACTTGATTTGGTCCTGTAAATGTTTTTCTCTCCTGCTGGTGTTTTATGGAATGGTTACTTTTGTATCAGTTTTGGTTGATGATTACAGGTTAATAGGATATGATTCTTCAAAACTTATTTGCTTTTTTTTTCCTTTTGAATTTTTGTAGTAGATTTTATTCTGAGATGTGCATGCGCAGCTCCCACTAGCTTTCATGGGAAATGTGTAGGTGTAACTTGGGGAAGAGCTTGGCTAAGTCAGTTGAGTAAAAAACATGACTTCGGAAGAACATAAAAATTATGCAGATCACTTACAGAATCTGTATTTAATGAGCTAAAATAGCAGCAAATAGACACACATCCTTATTACATTGTGGTAGCATACCATAATTAATAGTGAGCCAGGCATTGTATTTCAGACTTTTCATTTTATATATCTATAATTTAGCAGCATATTTTGTTTGGATTTACATTTTTTATCCTTGTGCTCAGTCCAAAGATTCCTTTTTTAAAAAGTTTAGCCAGAATCCTTTAGCTTATTCAAATATATATTTATAAAAATGCATTTTTAAAAAAGAGAGAATTCCAAAATAGCTTCAGAGTTACCTTGTATCTTTTCTTCAGTGATAAGATTCACTCTTTTTGCTAAATTTTAAAAATGTGGCATGGAATAGTTATTAATATTTAAGCAAGACACATTAAGCATGCACAACTTGTCATTTTCATTACGCGTTTAACTGTGTATATTCAAAAGCAGCAGAAAGAAAAGACAATGTTCAAATTGACTCTCTTTATACTACACGTGGACTACCTTCCTAATTATTCAGTACAAAATTAATCCTTTCTTCTGTTTTGTTTAAGCCCATGGCATTACATACTAAACTATTAATGCAGTATTATGAACAGATGCCAAATTTTCTCAGTTATACCTGTACAACATCACTGACCACAATATGGAATAAATGAGAAGCAAATTTGATCTTTAAAAAAAAAAAATTTCAAGAAAGGGGTTGAGGCAGTCTTTAGACAGGTTTCTGCGTAGTTGTGTACAAATTCCTCTGTACTCCAGTTGCTGACCAATATTATTTTGCTTTTATGTGTCTTTTGTTTAGTGCTGTGTGATTTGAACAGTTCTTTGCTTTATGTACCTTGCTTTCCTTTACTATTCTTTCCAGGGCCAGCGTCTTTTTGAAAAATTGCTAGAACTGGCGTCTCAAAATATTGAGATAAAACTCGTGAGTGATATACTCCCCACCGAATCAAAGGTATTAAACGACTTGAAAACAAAGGGTAAGACCGAGGTCTTTACGTTATTATACCATTGACTGCTATAGTAGTATAACTCACCTTTTTTTTCCACTTAAAATGTTGTTACTTCATAGGCACAAATGAACTATATATAAAACGAAATCTATTTGTTTAATAGTGATATCTTATAATTCTTCTGCTTACCTTGGCTCAGTTTTCAGTCATCTTTTAACACCTTAGATGGAGCAGATATTGGCAGTTTGTAAGTGGTAAAAAGATGGCCATGTGATTACAATTTAAAGTCAACATAACCTTGCTAAAGGTAGGCAATGCAACCTGAAAGAATTATTGCACCCCAGGATGAGAGATTCTTCTCTTTTGAGGAAGAGTGAAACAAAATAACATGTCAATGGTATTGACGTAACTTTTACCAAATCCTGCGATCAATTTCGATGCAAAACCCTAGTGACCTCAGTGGTGTTCCCCAAGAAATTGATTGCAGGGTGCAAACCTATTCTGTAATGAGTGACTGTTTTGTTACTTGATATTTTGTTAACTGCAATGTTTATTACAATGATTTCTCACATATGCATCATGCATTTCATTGAGATCCATTCTAAAGCACTTGAGAAACTGAAAAGTACATTGTCCTTTCAGAAATCTACCATTCAAAAAAAAAAATAGGGTAGTTAAATGTCGCTTCAAGTGCTGCACCTGTTTCTGAGGCCCTGCTGACCTTTGAGCTTTCACAGTCATCATTTTGTATTTTTCAAAAATGTAACCAGGCAGGGGCAACTTGCTGACTATTCATGCAAAATAATGAAATTGACTATACAGAAAATGTCAAATGTACAAATAAACTGAAAAATAGAGAATCTCTTTCAGTTTTAGTAATTGTAGGTGTTACCTGAAGTAAGAGTAGAAGTGATATAAACATCTGCTAGAAGTGGTGTTTTTAAAATTTGTAGGTATAGTTTAAAATGGACAAACAAGCTCTCTATGAATCCTGTGATCCATCCCTGAAATGCATAAATCAACAGTTGTTCAAGGCACTAGTTCAGTAAAGTGCTTAAACATATGCTTAACTTAAGCATGGACTAGCCCTGTGTCTGATAGAACACCAATAATGCATACTTGCTGAAGAAAAGAAGTGAAGACTCTTTTTCTAAATGAAAACTGAATTTGTATCTCATGAAGTTTCTTTTATTCTGATGATTAGATATGGAACAAGAGAAATATTAATGAAATTCTTGCTCTGCGAAAGAGATCACCTTTGATCCATTCTGAAGGAATTAAATGGAATCTACAGTGAAAACATTGTTCTGCTGGTTTATTCTCTGAGGGTACCTCTACACTACAGAGAAGACTGAAACTGCCGCTGTCGATAATCGAGGGTGCGAATTAGCGGGTCTAAGACAGACAGCTAGTTCGAACTGAGAGGGTCAATGCCAGTAGTCCTGTTTCCATGAGGAGTAAAGGAAGTCGAAGGCAGAGTGGTCTCCCTTCGACTTCCTGCAATGTGGACCATGCCAAAAGTTGAGTTAAGCTACTTTGACTTCAGCTACGCGATATATGCAACTTTAGCTACATTACTTAATGCGACCTTGTGCCGTAGAGTAGACATACCTTTACAAATTAACATGGTTACCCCTCTGAGACATTTCGGGGAAGTTCTTGAACAGACAGACTCACAGACGGACACACTTACAAACTCTCTGAAATATATAATAAATATTTTCCCTTCACTTTTGTTAATAGCATTAGAGCATGGGGAAATATCCCTTTCTGCTCCTGTTGCAATTAGCTTCTAGTTGACAGAAGCAAGTAATATGTAGAATTATATGGACAATGAATCTCCTGTTCTAATGAGATCCTTTAATTTCATGAAGACAATAAAAATTGTCATAACTGACAATTTTAACTAACAATGGCACACTAGAAATGAACCTGCTTCTTGGGGGCTATGTCTAGATTGCAAGCCTCTTTCGAAAGAGGCTCTTTCGAAAGCATCTTTTGAAAGAGCCTCTTTCGAAAGAGAGCGTCTAGACTGCACGGAGAAATTTCGAAAAAGCGGCTTGCTTTTTCGAAAGAAAGCATCCAGTGAGTCTGGATGCTCTCTTTCGAAGAAGCCCTATTTACATTGAAGAACGCCTTCTTTTGAAAGAGGAACTTTCGAAAGAAGGCGTTTTTCCTCGTAAATTGAGGTTTACCGCCATCGAAAGAAAAGCCGCGTTCTTTCTAATTAATTTCGAAAGAACGCGGCTTGAGTCTGGACGCAGGGGAAGTTTTTTCGAAAAAAGGCTACTTTTTTCGAAAAAACCCCTGAGTCTGGACACAGCCGGGGAGACAGCAGTACTAGTAATTAGGGAGAAGTGATTTCCCTTGCTTCCTGGAGAGAAAATTTAGCCCAGGCACAAGAGAGAGATCTATATGGCCAATTAGCATATTTGGGGAAACATCCACAGACTTAGATTTTATGTGAATCTTTGTAATTTAGAACAGTTTCAACTGACATATCCATGAACTCATTTGAATACTTTAAAATTTCCTGTCCCAGAAACCTGAGCAAGACACAGGAAACTAAAACTAGCAAAGTTACAAAATCCTTACACTTTGAAAAAGCCAGATAGGATTCTAACACCGTTTGATGAAATCCTTATTGCAAATTGTGATTCCCCTCCTTCCTGAAGTTTTTAATTGCTTGTTTAAAGCATATTGTCCCAGTTTTGATGTTAAATTCTAATGTTGCCCAATGCCTTAGGTTATGTTGACACTATGGGATAATATCAAATTAATGTAGCTGAAGTTGAGTCTCTTAATCGCGTGGCTGAAGTCAGAGTACCTTAACTCAACTTTGGCGCTGTCTCTACTGCAGGAAGTCTAAGGGAGACCACTCTTCCTTCAACTTCCCTTACTCCTCATTGAAGCAGGACTACTGCCATCAACCAGAGTGCCCCTCTCAGTTCAAATTAACATGTCTTCACTAGACCCACTAATTCGAACCCTGGATGATTGACAGTGGCAGCGTCGATCTTCTCTGTAGGGTAGACATACCATAACTGAAAAAAACAAAACATACAATGGGTGGGCAGCTGCTGGAGGGACATCCAACCCTGGCTCAGGGCCTGGGGTGCCTCCCAGACCCAGTTCAGGGGCTGGAGTGACCCCAAGAGGCATTGGGCCTCTTTGGGAGGGTCCCCTACCCCCCACCATGGGCCTCACCGCTGCCCTGCCACTGGAGCTTTTTTAGACCCTCACTACATCAGGCCTCTTTGCCACCCCTACTGCCCTGCAATGTCACTCTGTCATCCTGAAGGAAAAACTTTTTTTAATAATATAGATTAAATGGTTTGTTTATGATGGTGTATATGTAGGTCACAACTAAAAGGTTTTGTGTTTATCAAAGTTGTCCAGACAGCCCAGATTATGAGTTTCTGACAGAACCATAACAGATAAACATTGTCTGTCAATAGCTCATATCTGAAAGTGATAGAAAAAAAGTTCAAAGGGAATTATAAGAGAATAGGGGTCAAGTCTCTTTACAAATAGATAATGAGCTAGATTCAGGTTGATATTTCTGGTCTGAGACATGGAACATGCAGGTTTAGGCATGTTGGCAAATATAGGAAACAACAGATGTACAAGAGAAAATAAGGGGGAGAGCTGTCCTTTCTCTTCTGGTGCTACCCCATTCTGTCATGCCATGCTGGCTGATGCCTGGGGTCAGTAGAGGACACTGTCTCCTGTCCCAGCACCACATGCTGATATGCTGACTGGAAGCAGTTGGAGAAGCTGCAGCTCGGGCCTCCCATCATCTCCAGTAGTGCTGTTGTCACAGCAAAGACCCATGAGAAACAGAGAGAGCTGTTGAACAGCAGGCAGCTTTCAGTTCATGAGGCCTGTCAGAGTGGCTTTTCTGAGCCCTCTCCCAACCCAGCAGCAGCTTTACCCCAAAGCAAGCAGGAGAGCCAGCACTGACCTCTGCCCATGGTGCCTAAGAGCCTTCCCTCATATCTACTTGAGTCCCTGCCAGCTAAGGAGAATTTTGGGAATGTGCTGCCTGGGCTTTGGAAGTAAGCATATGACGTTCTGAAGGGGAGGAAGAGATGGAATCAGGGGACAGTATTGAATTGGTTGGGCAATAAGAAATAGAGAATGCATGAATGGGAGAGCAGAATTGAACTGATTGTCAGGAAGACAGAATAAAATGTTTGCATTTCTCTCCCCCAACCCTTTGTGTGTCGTCCTAGACTATGCCTTCCTTAGGAGAGGGTCTATGCCTTCTTGCTTTTTGATACTGAGTAGGGTCTGTGGATGCCATAGCAATATAAATTACATTAATTAATATGTTTTAAAAGAACGTGGTATAGGTTGCAAAGTTAAGTTCTCAAAAGTTAGAAAATGTTGCATTAAAAGTTCTTCATGCAACCTTCATTCAGCCTCTTTGTGCATATGCATTATGATACAGCCTTTAATAACAAGTTTTATCTTTTCTACAGAAGACCTTTTTCATTCAGGGCTTGATCCTGCACCACTCCTTGCATGAGAGTTTTCTATTGACTTGAGTGAGAGTAGGATTAAGCCCTCTGGGCACAGAATGGACAATGCTCTCTCAATAGCCACTTTTCCCTTTAGGAAATGGTTAATATTTCCTTTTATCTTAATCATTTAATGTGTGGCCCTCGACTTTATTTACCAATCATCATCAAATACGACCCAAAACAGAATTATTTTTCTCCTGGGCATTTTTATGGTGCTCATCATTTGTGATTCAGAGTGCTTCACAAATGTTAATGAATTCATCTTCATAATGTCTCTGTGAGGTAGGAAAGGATTATTATCCACACTGTGCAGGTGGGGAATGGAAGCATAAAAAATTCAGGACAAAAGTGATGGTGCTGGGCTTGAGATGCTGATTTTTCATAGTACAGCATTTTTATAGCACTTTATATGTTCAAAGCATAACTCACATTGACTTCAGATGCAGCTGAGTGCTCAGCATTTCTATAAATTAGCTCCTAAGCAAAGGTGTTAGCCCTTAT